CATATCTGTCAGTGAGAGAGAGAAAGATTTGTGTTTTCTGCTTTCTTCTACATTGATAATTCTGAAAATATTACTTGCTTCTTTCTCAGATACATGAATCTGAGGAAGAATTATCAACATTCTTGAAGAAAATCGTAGCCAGATGAGCTTAAAGAAACAGGACTTTACGCTGAAACCACAAGGCTAAATACCAACTACCTGATACAGGGACAGAAAAATGGGAATGAATGCTTGCTTTGTGTTTTCTTATTATGACTTTCTTAACTAATGAAGCAGTCCAGAATATTGTAAAGAGCTATGTCTTCCAGATCTGATTCTAGTCTCAGATTTATTATGAACTGGCTATGAAATCACAGGTGTAGTTCATTGGGCCTCAGTTTCCCCAGCTATAGCACAAAGGGGCTAGAACTATAGTCTTGAAGATCCTGTTCTGCTCCAGTATTCTCTGACCTATATCATTGATATTAATAAGCCTCAATCATCAAGTGATCATAAAGGAGAAGGAAACACTAAGAGCTCCTCAGGATGTCATACATTTGTATTAAAATCAAAGTACATCTATCCTGTAGAAACTTAAAAATAATTCTCCAGAGTTGGGCTAAGTAAAATTTTAACAAAGTAATGCTGCTCTCAGATCAGATCTTACCCAAGAAGGAGGGTAAATTACAGAAGAAAAAAATGAACAAGAGATAGTATTGGTCAAAAGTACACATGTCAAAAGATTGCTAAGGGCTTCCCTGGTGGCGCAGTGGTTGAGAGTCCGCCTGCCGATGCAGGGGACGCGGGTTCGTGTCCCGGTCCAGGAAGATCCCACATGCTGTGGAGCGGCTGGGCCCGTGAGCCATGGCCGCTGAGCCTGCGCGTCCGGAGCCTGTGCTCCGCAACGGGAGAGGCCACAACAGTGAGAGGCCCGCATACCGCAAAAAAAAAAAAAAAAAAAAAAAAGATTGCTAAAAAGGTCTCAAGTGGCTGCTGCAAAACGGTCTTAAGAGTTAATGTCCCTTGAAAATATGAGGAGTCTAGTGGCAAGAATGGGTCCAATTTGTCCTCTAACTAGATTCTGGCTCCTATGAACCTAACTCCCTACGTTTATTCCAATGTGAGCAAATCAACTAAAACCAAATTTCCTTATAAATGGAATAAAGCCTACTTATAGCTATAACAACTCGATTCACAAAAACTCAGTGTAAGATTTATCCTCCAGAAAGCCTATGATCATGAAGGTAATTGTGAAGGAATTTTTGAATAAGGAAAACCATGCACAAATGAAAAGCAAGCAGCGAGAAAACATATAGTGAGGAACTAATAGAAGCAATTAAACTGAAAATATTTTATTGCTACCTTGTACAGAGTATATTCTCTTCCCACTAATTTTCACTCTACTATAAAGAAAAGCATAAACTTGATTCCTTACCAGCATAAAATATTGGTACTAAGTTTTTGCAAAGGAAATCACAGGCTATCATAGACATTTTCCAAGCTGATGTATTCTTTTCAAATGATTGCCAGGAATTAGATTTCCAGTTTTCTTTGTCTAATCATTCGTGCTCTTTCTTGGAGCTTTGTATAAAAATAAAAGAGCTGAAAAAAACTGAGCTGAAGAATACAGCAACTGGAGAATTTATATAAATGTATATCAATCATTGGAGGGAGACCCATGTATATATAATGTAACAAAGACATAATTAGACCAAATGTCTATATTTTGCAAAGATTTCATTTTGCAGTCTGTTATATTTCCATGCACAAGTTATCACAGCTGAAGTTAGCTCTTATACACTGTGAGACAAGCACTCAAAAACATGCAATGATACATATAAATGGACACCACAGGAAACTACGGGGCTACAAATTCCTTGCTATTTATCTGTGACCACCACACATGCAGAAAAGTGAAAATATGTCTCTAAAATCTTTTGAGCTTCTTAAAATAATAATTTTAAGATATATTTTCTTCTTTGATGAAATATTTTGTTTTATGGAATATTAATTATAAATAAAACAATTTCCCTTCAGAGCAATGTAAGCCAATTAGGCTAGATAAGTTATAAGCCCTGGATAACTCATCATCCAGGGACATGGGACTATATATCCTCGTGTACTCCAAGTAAACCAACAAATGCACATGTCTCCAACTGAAACAGATCATCTTGGCTTGTAAAGTCTCTAAAACTATGACAAAACTATTCCTTCTACTGTATAATCTATACAAGTTGTTTAAAATTGTCCTATGAACTTACATGATGCTGAGAATAAACTTCCAGAGATTTCTTAAGATTCAAAAGGTGTTCTGGTTAGGAATTCACCACCAAACCGTAAACTATAGGAAGGCAGGAACCTCATCTATCTCATCTCTATTTTTACTGCTTTCACGTAGCAGATCTTCAGTAAAAAACTTATTACATGAGTTACGTCAACTATTCCAGTCTTAGCTGATGATGAACCATATTTTGTGTCTAGATGGGCATGTCTTTTTCAGCCAGAAGAAAGACAAGAGAAGCCTCTGCTAAAGACTGCTGTTGTTTTGTTAGATACTGAAATGACACCTTAAAAAAACTTCCTAAAATCTTTTAATACCTCTCTACTTTAGAATATATAGATTAGCTTCCAGATACTCCTATCAAAAAATATGACCATCAAGAAGCCATGAAGGAGCCACTCTTTTATCTAGAAGGATTGGCAAACTATAGTGAATGGGCCAAACCTGGCCCATAAACTAAGAATAGTTTTTACATTTTTACAAGGTAGGAAAAATTCAAAAGAAGAATGTTTCATGACAAGTGAAAATTATATGAAATTCAAACTTCAGTGCCCATAAAATAAAACTTTATTGTAACAGCTGCTCTCATTTGTTTACATATTGTCTGTGGTTTGCTGCTGTGCTTCTGAACTGGGGAGCTACAAGAGACCATATATATGGACCAGAAAGCCTAAGATATTTACTACTGGTGCTTTACAGAAAAAAAAGTTTGCCAACCCCTGTGCTAGAGGGTCAGACCTTTCAAACCACGCCATTTAATACTGACAGAACTTTTCCTGTTAAAAAAAAGGCAGGAAATCACGGAGCAACTAGTTCAGCATGATCTGCTATGGAGTAGTTCTTCTGAGGTCATTTTGGCTAAGCCAAACATTTCCAGAGTGAACTGGTGACGATCTGAGAGTATGTCTTAATAGCATGACATGCATATCTTGGAGAAGGCATTTAACCCCTTTGGGTTTGTAATTGATGTTACAAGTCTATTTCTTTGATTTCTCTTTTATGAGTTTATAAGAACGAAATCAGTTTTGCACTTGAATGTATTAATATATATTTCTATCTGATATCCTAAAGACTATATAGGATTGGCAATGGGAATTCTGTAACCTTGAATTCTAATTCTCTTTTGGAGTACTCTGTGTCCCCAAGGAACCGCCTGATTCAACTTTCCAGTCAGCCTTACTCTGAAACCTTATATTTATGATTTGCAAACTTTCGTGCCAGAAGTGAATGGTGAGATCTCTTCCAGGCAAAAAAGGTCTTAAATGCTCAAAGAGCCTGAAGTCCTTTAAAGAGAGAGCATACTTGTTTAATATTCCCCTGCTGCCCACCCCATACCTCACAGTCAGTAGGTATGGGCTCAAAGGATGCCTTCTGACTATCAGGAATGCAGTCCAACCTTCTCACCTACATTTATTTTCATTTAAAAAAGAAAAGCAATCTCTTTTTATTATACTTTCCATAGGTATCTCTGTAGAGTAGCTAATAATATATGAGAAAAGATCCACTATTTATTGCTCATTTACATTTCTTTTGTAAAAGACAATCTTTGACCTAGGCAAGATGGTTTGGGTTTATTTTTTTTTGCCTGAAGGATAAAGTCAAATGCTTGAATTACTAAAAAGAGCCCCAAATGTCTATATTTTACATCTATCTGCAGAGACTCTGGTAATACTTCCAGTACAGACACAATAGTTTTTAAGCTAACAAGTGATTATTCTTAACCACAGAAGGGTAAGTATAAGTGGAGTCCTGATTCACCAACTTCTCTTCCTTTTATAAGAGCTATTTTATTCAGGTTAGTCATAAAACAACATAATCAAAGATCCAAGATTCTAGGTAAAACTTAACATGTAAATAGGTTGTATGTATATTCTAATATGGTTGCAAAATCTGGCCTCATTGATGTAAACACGTATTGCTGGAAGAAGACCTAGGATGGGGATGTTAAAACACGGCAACATGGGCTTCCCTGGTGGCGCAGTGGTTGAGAGTCTGCCTGCCGATGCAGGGGACACGGGTTCGCGCCCCGGTCCGGGAAGATCCCACATGCCGCGGAGAGGCTGGGCCCGTGAGCCATGGCTGTTGGGCCTGCGCATCCGGAGCCTGTGCCCTGCAGCGGGGGAGGCCACAGCAGTGAGAGGCCCGCGTACCGAAAAAAAAACAAAAAAAAACCCACGGCAACATGATGCCACTTTGCCCCTCTGCATCCAGATGTTTTCCAAATGAGCATGCACTGGGACTCTGAATCCTCAACACAGCACTCAAGACACTTATAGTAAAACCTATGTGCTGTCTCTATAACAGTTTTCCCAAAAGTGGATTGTGTGCATCCCAGGAGAGGGACAAGATAGTCTATCGAGATGAGGAAGAGTACATGTTTTTAAACAGACACATTATTACAAGAATAGAGTGTGTACTCACAGTTCTACTATTGATAGATGTGCTTGGATCAGAGGCATAGAGAAGAGAACTAATTCTGTTAGTGTGAGTCTGTTTTGTAATTCACTTGAAATGGCTTGTATTCAATTTCAAAATATAGGTGGAACTTCTCAAAGGGAAGGTTATAAGAAACACAGAAGATTGTTGAAGTGGAAAAAGGTGTCCCACACCAGCCCATCTGAACCTACCATATTCTGCTCACAACCTCATCTTTTACATCACCCAACCGTCACCCTATTGCTGACCTGAATAAACAGTCATCTTACTCACATCTCCTAAAATGACACAGGGACACACTCACTGTTTCTGAAGTAAATGCTGGTGTTGCTGTTGCTGCTGCTGCCTGTATGTTTCAATCGTGTGCTGAGGAAGGTACTGCATGAGTTCCAGGGATTCTTTGATCTTCAGCAGCATTTCGTAAGTCTCACGGCCCCTCACCTATGTCAAAGAGCGGGAGAAAAGTGAAGACAGAATGAAGAGCTGTAGAACTATCAGAAGCACAGTCAATGCTCATTATTCGTGGATTCTGCATGGACGAATTCGCCTACTTGTTAACATTTATTTGTAACAGGAAAAACAACACTGGCACGCCTTGCAGTCATTCACAGACATGCGCAGAGCGATGAAAAGCTGATTCAACCATTGTGCAAGTTCCCAGCTGAGGGGGAAGAAGGGGATGCTCCGCCTTTTTGTTTCAGCTCTCATGCTAGAAACAGGTGTCCTTCTCACGGTCTAGTTAGGGCCAAATGTTTCACTTTTTGTGGGTGATTTTTCCATTTAAAATAGTTCCCAAGGGCAGCTGCTATGCTATCTCGTGTGCCTAAGTGCAAGAAGGCTGTGATGTGCCTTATGGAGAAAATATGTATTAGATAAGCCTAGGTCAGCCATGAGTTATAGTGCTATGGGCAGTGAGTTCAATGTTAATGAATCAACAGCATATATTAAATAAGAAACACACATGAAACAAGGTAATGCATTGATCAGTTACTAAAAACATGACCAGAGGCTCACAGGAACCTAATCCTGTATTTCCTCTAGGAGCAATGATTCAGTATTTGCTAGTACAGTGTTCACAGTGACTTTATAAGGCATAAGTACCACAAATAACTAGAATTAACTATAATTACCTCTAGAAGGACAGAAGTTTTCAGCAGAGGTAAAATGTGCTTCCTTCTTTAAGAGAGTTTCTTAAAAGCTTTAAAAAGTCTGAGCAGCTATTTACAATAGCCAGGACATGGAAGCAACCTAAGTGTCCATCGACAGATGAATGGATAAAGAAGATGTGGCACGTATATACAATGGAATATTACTCAGCCATAAAAAGAAATGCAATTGAGTTATTCGTAGTGAGGTAGATGGACCTAGAGTCTGTCATACAGAGTGATGTAAGTCAGAAAGAGAGAAACAAATATCACATGCTAACACATATATATGGAATCTAAAAACAACAACAAAAAAAGATGATCATGAAGAACCTAGGGGCAAGATGGGAATAAAGACACAGACCTACTGGAGAATGGACTTGAGGACGTGGGGAGGGGGAAGGGTAAGCTGGGACAAAGTGAGAGAGTGGCATGGACATATATACACTATCAAATGTAAAATAGATAGCTAGTGGGAAGCAGCCGCACAGCACAGGGAGATCAGCTCGGTGCTTTGTGACCACCTGGAGGGGTGGGATAGGGAGGGTGGGAGGGAGGGAGACGCAAGAGGGAAGAGATATGGGGACATATGTATATGTATAACTGATTCACTTTGTTATAAAGCAGAAACTAACACACCATTGTAAAGCAATTAGATGCCAATAAAAAAGTTAAAAAAAATAATCCCAGTCAACAAACAAACAAACAAACAAGTCTGAGCAGGACCAGGACTAGAGACAGGCAAGTGGAGAACAAAGGGCACTTGCCTGACCCCGAGAGTGAGTGTCTGTTTACCCTGTGCACCCTAGCACATCACCTGTCTCTTCCCTGAGCATTAGAGGCAGAGTTTGTCAGAATTCAGAAATGGAAAGATTTTCTCTACCTTTTGCTGGGTTAACTCCTACTAATCTCAGCTCTGGGATCATGCTCTTTGAGAAGCTTTTCCTGACCTCAGTCTTTTAGGCTGATTCTTCCATCCTTCCTATGTGCTCCCACAGTGTCATGCCTAGGTTTGCTGAAGCATTGATTTCATTGCATTATGCCTATTTGTCTCCTCACTAGAAGGCAAGATCTTGGAAGGTAAGAATTGTACCCTACCGATCTCTAAGTGCTCAGGGACTCGTATTACTGCCACTCAACAAATACCAACCAAATTCATGGTAAATTAAGAGTTTTTTTTTTCTTTACACATTTCCGTTTGGCTAATTCTTCACTAAAAATAAGATGTAACAGAATACAGGGTATCTCCTCCATTAGTACAAACTGAAATTTCATGAAAGAAACAGCTCTTCCAGTGGTTTCTATCTCATCAGGTGAAAACATATTAGGTCTTTAGGAATATCTAGTACAGCAGGAAAATGTTTAACTTAGAGTTCACATGTCAGTTTCCATATGTAGCCTGAGAAACAAGACACTGAGAATCTGAGCTAACTCACTGTCTAATTATTCTGCCAGCAAGCAGTCTAATTCCCTTACCCGACCTTCAGGGCCCGAAGAAGGAAGGGCAGCAAGCACGGCACACCCAACCCTGTGGCTTAGTTTTAATCCCAGTCAGATCTCCTGGCCTAGCTTGTCTGTGTCGCAAGTCAGTGTAGATGGCATCAAGAGATATGCTGGTTACCCAAACTCTGCTGCCACTCTAGATAGCAAAGACCTAAGGTAATAAGAATTCGATGAACTACAACCATAGCCTAAAAAGGGGCAGCTTGGTGACCTTGAGAGGGCTTATATTCCTTGTAGGAATGAAAAACGCTCCTGCACAATAACTGGGCCGAGTCTCTGGCCATTCCCATATGATTGAAGATTCTGCCTGACTTGGCTTTCTTTATAGCACTCCCCAAGAGAAATCCCAGGCAATTCACTATGTATTATCGACATTGTGAATGCCTTCTGACAAAATTTTAGTCCTAAACTGGTATGACCATGCTGTCTAAAATCATCTTATCACTCTTAAATAACGAAGTACAAATTAATTTTAAATATTTGCATAAGAAAAATTGTATTAGGAAGGTAGCTTTGACGGGGTGAGCAGTACGTAGAAGAGCCCACACTGTTAATATGTCCCAGAACTGTAGAGGGAAGGGGTAATTTCCTAATTTTGCAAAAAATAAATTCTCTGTTTTATCTCACTAGTCTCCATCACCCTCTTCTCATTGTCACAGATAATCGAAAGATGACCCCAGAGTAAAAGCTCGTTCAAAGTAGGTGAAAATGAAGCAATCATGAATACCCAAGGGAGACTCACTGGTAAGTACAGCAGTTCATCATCTGGGGATCTTCGTTTCTTGATGGACGTCATCTGGATGCCATGTGTATTTTGACGGAAAGCTGATGGAGGAAAAATGCAAGTTTCATCCTGGGAACATTTCTGAAGCGATAAATACATTTATTACACAGATAGTAGCACGAGCAACACTTATGAGATTAGAATTTCTAGTTCTAAGCAGCCAGTAATTGGTGATGATTGCTTTTACCTTAGGTGTAAACCTAGCAATAATGAGGCGGGGAGGAGGGAAGGTGAGGGAAAACAAATGAAAGAAAACCCCGGGGGAGGTCGGGGAGGCTGGGAAATGGCCTCTGGCTTAAGTAGTGCTGCAGGAATCCTTGTGTCTTCCTGGCATGGGTCTGTGAACAGCTGTTCGGGAAAGGAAGATACATTGGTTTTGTGTTTTAATTTTCAGGTCAGTTATCTTCCAAGGTGGTAAATGCATGCTATAGAGGTTGTCTTGCCAGTGCATTCAGCCTTGTGAGTTTAACCTTCCGATGTCAGTATGCACATCGCATAACTTTTGATAAGCAGTCTCTCTTTCCAGGACCTCAGTTTTCTCTTTGGTAAAATGAGTGAATTAATCTCATAAATCCCTAAGGTTTCCACAATGCAGAAACTACACCCAGGATCCAGGGTATAGAGAGGATTCTCCTACCAGAGTTCAAATAATCGTTCTTACTGAGAGTTACTGATTTGTTGGTAACTGAGGTGCTCAGGGAAGTGTATGGAGCTAGGTCAACAGACAGACCCAAGAGGAAAATAAGGGTGGAGATATAATTATGGATATTTTATGTACTATTGATATGGTATATATAATATAAACCCTATATATATGATTTTTTGAGGAATAATTAGGGAGAAAAAGAGACTAACTGGAAAAGCAAATCACACTGAACAGCCAGAAGTTAATGAAGGTCAGTTGTTATAACACTGTTGTTCTGTAAAATGCAACAAAAATTTTTATTTCTTCTGCAGAATAATCAGTAAAAAGATTAAAACCTTTTTCATGATACAATTCATAGTGAGATGTTCTTTACAATACTCGCTGTAGTGATATCAGGCTTATGCAAGACACCTTCTAGAATTATGTGTCACGCTTTAGTAGCTCGTGTGGATCAATGGTTTTCAAACGCTTGTTACCTGAAGAACCTCCGTTACCTGAAGGCCTCTGGGGACGTGTACCTCACAGGCAAGGGGTGGTGTGAGTGGAGCATGAAACCACAGCCCACCCCGACTCCTGCTTCTTCAGCTACAGCAGCTCCACTTTCAGCTATTTTGCATTCTTTGAAATATTTCTTTAATAAAAGCTTTTACTGCTTAAAAAGACCAGTTGGGAAACAACTGACCTAAATCATTGGCCTCACTATAAATGATGTAACTAAGGCCCCAAGTGGGTCCTACACATAAAGATTCAATGAAACCCAGATCTGCATATTTCCCAGACTGCGCTTTATAAAATGTGTTCTTCAGTCTCACTATTCCCCTAGACTCATGAGGAAGGCAGGTGGCATTTTCAACCCTCATGCTCAATAACAGAAAAATAAATGGATACCAATAGGCTAAGATACTGCTTCTCAAACTTTAGCTGGCAACAGAATCACCTGCAGGTCTTACACAACATAGGTTCCTGGATCTCACACCCAGAATTTCTGATTCAGCAAGTCTGGGAACTAAGAATTTGCATTTCTACCCAGTTTCCAGGTGATGCTGACGCTACTGGTTTGGCAGTCATATTTGGAGCGTTGCTGACTAAGAAATCCTCACCGTGATGATTTGCTTTTGAAAAGCTATAGTGTACACCTGGAGTCCATTTCAGCTAGAGCTGCTCCCGTCAGCTCTGGGGCCCTGGGTCATACTTGCCTCTAAAGCCCTTAGGTCTTATTCTGCAGCTTCTCAAAGATCACCCCCCAGCCCCCCTCTCTGGAGAAGACTTAACCCTAACCCATTTGGGCCACTACAGCTACTTACGGCGCTTCGTACCATCACCGTTCTTTGTGCTGTCCGAGACTTGCTGCTTTCTGATACTGTCTTCATCTGCCTTCCTATCTCTCCCTGGGCAAGCACAGATCCGGGCCTCAAAACAGCGGCGGCCCAGGACTTGCCCACTAGGAATTAGAGAAGAGGAGAAGACAGGGTTAAATTAAAAGAATTTGAAAAGACCCCTGCTGGCCATCACCAGTGCACCACCACTACCAGCTCGGTTATGGCTGCTTTGAGGATGGGCCCCAAAGCATCTGGCAGGACACAAAAGTGCTTACACGCCATGAGCAATATTAGTAAATAGCATCCATTTGTTCTGCAAAGAACCTCCAAGCCATTAGCTGAACAGCTGTATTTAGCTACATATTTTGAAGGAAACTTGAGTTAAGCCAGTGGATGTCTCCAGATAAAATCCCCATAGGCAGCTCAGACTTATTCAAAGAAACTGTTAAATGCCTTAGGGGCCACATGAAAACAAACACTGTCTAATCAGAAACTATTTCAGTCAAATGTCAAGAATTCAGGTATGAAGCGACTTGAACGCCTTCCCAATTCTTGTTTTTTTCTCTTCTACCTTTACCCACCCCGTTCTGTCTCCACTTTCTTAGATCTTTTATGTAAGTGTTTGCAGCAAGGATTTAAAGCACAAAGGACAAAATCAAGGGTAGCTCTCTGCTGCACACGCAAAGGTAATGATAAAGCAAACACAATTTCACTTTGCCCTCTGCCCAGAGTTTCTATAGAATGACAATTCTGCAAATGCCACTTACTCTCTGGTTTCCAGAGTAACGATGATTAAAATTGGACGGCGGTTCATCCCCCCGACACAACTGCTGTTACACATGAAATTGTACAAGACTGTCGTGAATTCAGTGCCAACCTTAACACGGAGAGGGGGAAAAAACAGTCGGTGTTAACCATGGTTTGAACTAATGTTCTTTCTTCTCAGTTCTTCCTTCTTAGTTCTCACTTATTTTGACAACTCCACTTCTGAGGAAGTGATATGCTTTCTTCTACAAAGGCAAACTGTAAAATCCAAGTAGCTTCTTTGCCTTGGATCTTGGGAAGCTTAAAGCTAATATCTGTAACATTGGACCCTACCCAAGGTGAGAAAGGCTTTTAAAAATTAACGACCTTTGACCCTACATTATTCATTTGCAAGCTGATCATATCACCTAATTCAAATAGGGTTCATCACATATATGGAAAGAGAGAGATGAACAAATTACTAACTATAGCAGTAACGCTCCAGGGATATTTTCCCGAGGTGGATAAAAAACAGTACAACATATATGTGAATGTATACTTCTATAAAGAACACCATGGAGCTTAAAAGGTCCTCAGAATTAAATCATCTAGTCCAGAAAACGAATTTATGGGTGAGGCAATCTGAAACCCAGAGATGGAGAGTTATAAGCTAAAGGTCCACAGAGTGAGTCAGCAGACGAAGAGTCTCTGTTCTCACTACCCCAGTGTTCTTTCTGCCACACCACTCTGCTTTTCTAACCTGTGAACCTGTACATTCAAACTTCAGCTAAGAGTTCCATCTTAGGGTCTCCCATTTTCAGGCCAGTGTAAAAATACTTGTATCCAGTACTCGTGTACATCCACTACTAGCTGAATTGCCAGTTAAGATCTCTGGATAAAAATGCCACGTATAAACTCAACTGTAGATTCAATTATTGTCTGCCTTTAAGATGGGAACATGGGCACAGAGCCACATTACCAAGTACAAATTTAGCACAAATTTAGGAGTTTTGAAGGGGGATACAGAAGTGGCCTGTGGAGAAGAGGGAGAGAAGAAACACAAAAAAAGGTTAGTTGTTTTATAACAAGGACTAAAATAGAAATTGATGCTTGAAACACCCCCTATCATCAAAACTAATAACCTCAAGTTTGCCCAATCCTTATCTGTTTACCTGAGGTGGCTCATAAGGTACAAGTACACTCTGTCTTCCTGTGATGGGGTCTTCTACGTACTGGGCATGGCTGTTCCCTTCTACTCGAATCAAATGACTAGGGGGGGCGATCTGTCCTGCAGAACGGAGAAAGAAAAAGAAATTCTTAGTTCTTCACTCTCAAAACAAAGAAAACAAAATGAAACTGTATGGACAGAACGTTGGTGGCCAAAGAAATGGTTTGTGTAAAAGAGGAAATATACATCCTTGAAAAGAGGAATCGATCCTGTTGCCAGAGATCTAACACATGAAAGTATCACCGCCCATATAGCCACAGAAAGGATAGGAATGTTCATCTGTATTTAAGGGAACAGTCCCATGTTTCTGGTGCTCAAGGTAAACAATTCAAGTGGTACAGAACTCTATGACTACATCTCTGACCTGATCCATACAGGTGATTTTTCTAGCTTCTCTGGAAAATGGAAGAAAAAGGAGCAAAGTTAATTAAAAAAATATATTAGCTTGAGAGAAAATACTGCCCCCCAATTGACCATTAAACACACTAAATAGGAAGCTATGGATGGCAAGGATATAACTTTCACTTTGCCTATTCTTCTTTTCATCGTGAAGTCTCCATCTTACTTTGGTCATAAAGATGGGAAACTTACTGTTTTTATTGCGCTGCAAGAGCCCCAGGTTAGAGGGTAAGAAAAGGCAAGCAAGTTTTAAAAGAGTATAGGCAAAGTTTCACAAAATGTGATACCTGGTGGAACTCGAAAAGAAAGAAGCTGCTCCAAGAGTTAATGACGTGAAAATGTTTTTTAACCTTTGGCTGCACATTCTCATTCTACAAATCGGATATTCAATACAAGTAAAAAGCTAAGTGTATCAAGATGCTCTCTGCTCTCTGAAGCATCATCTATTATGGCAAAAACTAAAAACAACTATTATGTCAAACAGTGAGAAAAAAAAAAAAAGAAATGGTTATGTCACCTTGAGGGATGGAGGGCAATTATGGAAACCTATAATGAAGCCTAGGGAATAACCTTTATAGCATACTGTTAAGTGAAAAGCAAGATGCAAAGGTATGGATAATGAGATCATATAAACAAGGACTAGAAATTAATGTGTAAAAAATAGTTGTATTAAGCTGGGAGGATTTTAACTTTCTCTTTTTAAATTCCTATTTTCTTTCTCCATTAATTTTTCTCTAGCATCGATTATATTCTCTACATATACACATTCTGGCTACCTACCAATCTTTCTATTTTTCATATAATTTCTATAAAAAGTATCCTAACTCCCAACCCTCCTGCACCCTCATCACTCTTTGATGAATCTTTATGCTTTCTTCTGTCCTTCTTTTCCATTTTTCTGTCTTCTTGACTTAGCCTGCCTTCAAAGAACTTTAGAACAGCAGATGTAAGGGGACCCTTGGAAATAATGACCTCTTCTGTAAAACTATTACTGGATCTGAGGCTCAGAGGCTGGGGCCTAACTTACCTATGGATACAGCACTTAAAGGTCGCCCCAAGATACCTGCTCTTTGACTCCCAGTCCTTCACTTTACTGTTTTCCGTCCCCAGCTTACGTTCTAGATCTCCTATTAACTCTTCTTATCCATTATTTGTCTTCATTTCTTTTTCTTAGTTCCTACTTCCTTCTTCTATTTTTTTTTTTTTTTAATATTTCTCATCTTTTATGCTCCTATCTCTTCCCCTTCTAGACCCTAATTGGTCTGGCCTTGACAATCACCCTGGGAGAGGCACTGAAGCCCCTAACCAGGGCCCAACAGATCAGGGGCCACATGTTCTCCTTAAACCCTCCCATTACAAAAAAAAAAAAAAAAAAAAAGAAGAAGGAAGGAAGCAGTAGTAGGGAGTAGAGAGGCAAGTCCAGGTCACTGAGCAATTACCAATATTAAAATAAACAGTTCAATCATTGTGAAAGCCTGAAATTTACTCATCATTATTCTCAGACAGTCTTTTCAGCCAAAAAGGTAGCCTGAGCTACCATCAGCCAGCAGAGGTTGGAACCAGGTAAGTGGGCACCAAACAAAAGTCTTCACAGGAGCTCTATTTCAAGGAACTTAGTTGAACGGCCACAGATCCCCATTCTCCTTACCCTCGTTGAATTCACGGCTCAGCTCATGGTTGGGGCACCTTTTCACCACTTCAGTGACATGCTCGGCCTTCTTGTAGACAGGCATGGCACGGATGACAGCGCCCTGAGGAGGTGGGGTCATCACCTTGATCTGGATGGGGCATGTCTTTGCAATCTGGCAGTACAGTTTCTTCAGTTCAGTGGAATACTGCTTAGAGATGGGCCAATGGTGGAGGAAAGAAAAGAAACAATAGGAGATACTGTTGTTCAAAATACCTGTTCAAAATCAGAACAGGGAACATGTATCTACTTTCTGTAAACACATACCTTTATAGCTGCCTGTATGAAACCGAGCAGGACCCTGTGGGGCTCCTGGGTAGAGAAGCCTTTCCAGGTCCCCCATTCCTCGTTTGTAGGAACAGACTCTAGCCTCCAAGACCTTCCCTGAGCCCCAAAGGGCAGTTTCAAACATTTGCTAATCAGGGAAGGGAGAGGATGCAGAGACAAATGAGGAGCTGCCAAAAAACAATAGTGCAGCCTTGGGGCAGGGTCCTGGTTCTGCCTCAAGGGATCCACATAACAATATCTTTGAGCTCCTTACAGAACCAAAACCCCCAACAAATGGAGTTAGCATTCTTCATTCCAGAGAAGACCACCTGAGGCCAAATTAAAGCAACCAGAAAAACTCATCAGACTACCTGAGACCAGATTAAAGGACTGCAGGCTCTGCACACACCCTAATCTTATCATCAGCTCTGCCCTTGAACCATTACTATAAAACTCCTCACCAAATCCTCCAGGGTTGGGTCACACAGTTGTTGAGGACAGGAGCCCACTCTGCCTCCCTTTGCCTGGCAAAGCAATAAAGCTATTCTCTTCTAGTTCACCCAAAACTCTGTCTCTGAGATTTGATTCGGCACTGGTGTACAGAGGCTGAGCTTTCGGCATCACGTTCACCGTTGGCTACTATATGCATGACATCTAGCAATCTTATTCGAGGGAATTATATTCATTGATCAAATTAATCATTTCTTTCCACTTTAAATAAAATCCTATGTCTACAAACTATTTCACATTTATCAAAACACATTTATGTCATTATTTCCTGTTATCTTCTGTTTAGGATGAAGAAAGAGATTCTCAGAAATATTTCAATGATTAACACTATGAACAGCTTTACAGAGTACCAGAAACTAAATGGAAAAATAATGTTCTCATGTACGGAGTGATATTAAACAGACTATATTTAATCCCCCCCTTATAATACTCATAGGAATTAGGGTTTATGGAAAAAAATGTTTTAAGATAGAGTATCTGGCAGATAGCGAAGACATTTTACCTGAGGTCAACCAGCTAGAAAACTGCAAAGCAAAAGTTCCCGCAAATGACTGCACTTATCTTCTAAGGTCATAGCCTAAAAGAATGAGGGATCTGGAAGGGGCCACTTGGTCATATGCTCTCATGAAAGAAGGACTGATCTACTACAACATAGCAAAAAGATTATCTTCTCACTCACAAGTACTGAAATTTTTCCTCCCCACACTACCTTCTGTAGGGAGAGGGAGTTCAGTGGTTGGTTGACTGTAAAATTAGAAAATAGGGTGGAGAAAGCATGACACCTTGAAGAAAAAGTTCCATCCTTGTTGTTTCCTCTTCCCACCTCTGAAACAGTATAGAAAGTCTACCTTCTAATCCTTATACTATCTTAAACCTTATCACCCCTGTTCTCTGGGTCAATGCCTCATCACTGCATTCCTCCTCATTCTGATGTTCAGTGAAACCACCCAGGTAGTGGAATTGCTGGCCAAGAGCAGGGTACCTAGTAACACTTACCCAGACAAAGGTAAACAGACACACAGGTCACAATCCTAAATTGGCAGCAACATCCTTCCAGGGAAAAGACACTGGGGAGCAGGAGCCAGAGTGGCAAAGGGATTCATTATTGCTATGTTCCAACCCAACTCTGAATAGAGGCAAATGTCCCATGGAAAAGCACATTTAAAAGGGCTTCCCTGGTGGCGCAGTGGTTGAGAGTCCGCCTGCCGATGCTAGGGGACACAGGTTTGTGCCCCGGTCCGGGAGGATCCCACATGCCGCGGAGGATCCCACAGGCCGCGGAGCGGCTGGGCCCGTGAGCCATGGCCGCTGAGCCTGCGCGTCCGGAGCCTGTGCTCCGCAACGGGAGAGGCCACAACAGTGAGAGGCCCGCGTACCGCAAAAAAAAAAAAAATTGCTTTACCTCTTCCTTTTGAAATATAATATTTATTTAAATAATCTTTCTTTTTCTCCCAAGCATTTCATTATATGAAATTTTCAGTTAAAAATTTCCTAATACTAGACGTGTATTACATAATTGTTTCTCCATGCCCACAGGTCAAGGATTAAACACAGCAAAAGGGTTTTATATAGCGTGAAGAAATAGGAAGCATGCCATAAATCAACCACAGAAAAAAAATTCTACTTGGGAAACACTGAATGAAATCTAGGTAGATATTTTTCCTCTAGTGTTTTTAACCAATGACTTTACAAACAAAGACGTCGTCTTAATGCATGTTATGAACTCATTTTTATTGAGAACTCTCAGAAAATAAGCATATCTGTTTGTGTTTTAACTAAACTAGGAGATGTATAATCTAAACGTGAGCTTCATAAAATGCACCTTAGGAAAGATGATTGCAAAAAAAGTTTGTCAGCTAACACCTAAAGGCAAATAAGGCATCCATCCAAGCGTGTAAAGATTGCAAGAAAAGAAGGATAAGTAGGACAGTTAAGAGAAACGTTCTGTTTCAATAGCTGATATACTGTAAATCACACTTGACAGACTAAAACGTAAAAGTACTAAGAACAATCCTAGGCATCATCAGGTTAAATCTTCACTCATCCTTAAGAGGTGGGAGGGGGAATCTAATTTCTGCATTTCAGTAATGATATGCAATAATAACTTCACCATTTTCTGAGCTCTGGAGTAAGAAATTTAATCTTCACAGAAGCCTAATAGGAAGGTACTACAGATCTACAATCTCTTATCTGAAACCCCTGGGGCCAGATGTTTCAGAATCCAGAATTGTTTAGATTTTAGAAAGGGAGTAGAGTTCATATAGCATATGTTATAAACACCTCCAGCAGGATTTAGTGGGCCACCCTATAATCAAATCTTAATATTTCTTCAGAATACATAAAGATTCACACTAAGTAGGAAATGACCATAAACCCTCAGAGTTCAGGCCAGGTTTCACCATCACCTGAGTTTGCCACAAACTTATGAAATTAAAACAAAAACAAAGCAACTTTTGTTTTTCAGAGTTCTTTGAATTTCAGAATTTCAGATAACAGATAATGGATCAGTATTATTATCCCCATTTTATAGATAAGAAGAAGGCAGAGGACTTGCCTGAGGTCACAGAGAAGATCTGGTTAACAACCAGTATACAGGAATCATCCATAGTCCTGGAACAGTAGTTCCTCATCTCTCATTCTCTTGGCTCTGCAGTGAATATTTCTGTACTTTTACTTTTTTCTAATTCTCAAACGTGTGGCTGTTTGCCGAATCAACCTAAGAGGTATACAATCTTCTCAAACATTAAAATGGAGCTCAGAAATGATCTACTTACCATCAGTAATTCCTCTTTATTTATTTCTCAGTATAATAATGTTTGCTCATTTCAGTGCAGGGAGAAGCAGCAAGTGAGAGAAGGGAAACAATCCTGGACTAGGAGGAAGCCGACCTAGAGTCTAGGACCAGCTGTCTGTCAGTAATTCTATTACAACTCTGGGGAATTCATGAAAGAGGTCCTGCTCTTTCGCATGGTTTATGAAGGCCCTTTGTGTTCTGGCTTCATCTTTCTCTCATTCCCTCCCCTCACCCCCCTAACACACACATTTCCGACTCCCATGTTCTACCCGTGCAAACCTCATCATGCCTCAAACACACCATACATTCATCACCCACAATTCAAACATATTTTCCTTCTGTTCTCCATACCGTGCCAGGAAAATTTAGATATTACTCTTCAGCTAGGGCTGCATCTGGGGCTGTAAACCATATTTTCCAATTTTAGTGATGAGGTTTTACTATTGACTAAATCTAAATGTCTGACCAGGGCCAGGATACGTTCCAATTGTTGCTTCCAGTTAAACTTCCAGAACTGCTGTTCAGTAATCAGAGGGGCTGAAGTGGTCTGGCATGGTTCCTTCTTGACAAAGCCAAATTTCTGCTACTCTATTTCCTTCATTATTTGCAAATTGGTTCTGTGATGACATTTAATATTTTTCCAGTACTAAATTCAGTCTCCCTGGCCTACAGTGTATTCATAATTCCTTAGACTTGCCCACTTCCCCCACCAAACAGCCACTATCATCTTCACCAATTTTCCAGGCTTCTACAAGATCACTAAAAACGGGAATCTAATTTATGCCAAGATTTTAAAATACCCTGGTGATTCAAGTCAGCAGAGACTACAAATTGGAATACATCTGGGTTCTTTTAATATCTCTCTTCCTCTCTGGGGCTTTGAAAATTGACCTCTAAAATGCTCCCAAACATTGACCTGAGAGTCTGTAAATCTAAAGACCAATTTCTTCTTTTGGGTTATGTATGCTTTGTTTTCCTTTAATCAGCTTTGAAGTGTAATTTACTACAAAATACACCAATTTTTAAGCGTACATGTTGGTGACTTTTGACACGTGTACACTCTTATGTAACCACTATCATGAGTAAGATACACACTATTTCCATCCCCTCCCCAGCCTTCCCCGAGTCCCCACCCCTCACCAAAATCATCTTTTTCCCCTTTGCAGTTAATCTTCACCCCAACCCATTCTCAGGCAATCTGTACCTGCTTTCTCTTGTTACACTTTTGCCTTTCTAAATTTTTATAGAAATGGAATACTACTGTACATTATGTGCCTGGATTCTCTCACTTAGCATAACGCTTCTGAGATTCACCGATGTTTTTGCATGTATCAGCATTCTATTTTATTATTGAATGGAATTCTATTATTTATCAAGTCACCAATTATTTCCAGTTTTTATTTACTATGAATAAAACTACAGTTGGTTTCCATATCTGTGGGTTCCACATCCACAGATTCAACCAAGCATGGATTGAAAATATATGGAGGGAAATTTTTCCAGAAAGTTCAAAAAAGCAAAACTTGGATTTGCCATGCCAGTAACTATTTACATAGCATTCACATTGTATTAAGCAT